ACAAAGGACTACAAAGAAATGGGGTCCCAAGAGGGAACCTAAAGATGTATGCCTAAGATTATGACCCTACATGAGGAATGGTCTGGTTTTGTTCTCTGTGCTTTAAGCAAGCGTCATGCTTCCAGCACTATCTTTGTCCCTAAGGGTTACTTACTCACTCAACGCAATAGACACTAGCTAAGTACTCCCAGGACTAAGCACAGTGCCATAGTATATGTGTAGCAGGTGTGAAGGAAGGGGAGGAACACAAACGACAGGACACAACTTTGTGATCATGTTGAGAAACAGAACCCATAAAAATCCCAAGTGCTTTTCACCCAATGAGCGATCCTTACTCCCTTCACTTAGAGACCTTTAAAGGGGGGGGGTCTCATTATGTAGTCCTGGCTGGCCTGGAACTCACAGAGGTCTACCTGCCTGTCTCCCAGTGCTAAGATTAAAGGTGTGTACCACTATGTCTGGCTTTAAAGAGACCTTTTGATGACCCTACAATCATGTAATAAGAGACTGTGTTCAGTGAGTGGAAGTATTCTTTAGTTTTAATTTCAAACAGTATGTCCTATAATCTACAGTTCAACTTTTAAAAACTAAAAGTAGCACATTCTCCACAAGTTGACAGCACATTCTCTTCTCATTATTTCTCTAAGAATATCAGAAGAACTTTGGATAAATCAGCCCATAAAGGATACTGGGGGAGAGGGGCTCAGTGGGTAGGTAGAGGTACTTGCTGTTAAGCCTGACAGCCTGAATGTCAGTTCCAAGTCTACGTGGTAGAAGAATCATCTCCCCCAAGCTGTCCCGACCTCCACATGCCCACTGTGGCGCATGCACTCTCACCAGCCCAAACCACAGAAAAAAATTAACAAGTAGATGTAAAAACTTTAAAAAAAAGAAAAAAAAAGAAAAACCCTAAATACTAATATGGATCAAATGGCAAGCTAAATCCTAGTTAAGTAGTAGGTACAGAAAAGGGGAAAGAAAGGAAGACTCTGGGGGATAGTCCGTAGTCATTCCTTCTTAGAACCAGCTACTAATTTGGGGGACCCATTCCAAAATAAAAGCATCTAACCAGGAATAATGATGCATGCTAGTAGCCCCAGCTATTCAGAAGGCAGGAGAATCACTTGAACTCAGCCAAGAATTCCTGACCAGCTTGGCCAACACTGAGACTTCGTCCCCGAAAAAATCAGCAGCAAAGGGCTAGAGAGATGGCCAAGGAGTTAAGAGTGCTAGTTACCTTCCAGAGGACCACCGTTTGGAGCACGACCACCTGGAACTCCAGTTCCAAGGGATCCAACACCCTCCAATGGCCTCCAAGGGCAAATGCACACATGAACACACTCTGACACAGACCCATGTGCATAAATAACAAATTTTTACAAATATAAGTATTTAAAAAGCATTAAGAAAGAAATAGGTAGGACCTTTTGTTCAAAGGTAATTTCAAGATGGTGATGAGTGGGCAATGAAACAAAGAGTAGAGTCCTGCATGACTTCATGCCACCTGCCCACTGTGCCCACGAGCTGGCCGTTCCTTCTAACGCTAGCACAAACCTCAGTAACAACACAGCCTGGACCCAGGCTCATCCAAACGTTTCTTCATGCACCTGAAAGTTCTATCGAGTGTTTTACAGTCCCGTTTTAAAGAAATGAGCTGTAGAGTACATCACCTGAGTCGACTAAAGACATTAACATGGCCTAGGAAGATGGCTCAGTTGGTCAAGTCCTTCACCCACATAAGAAACCAGAGGAGGTGGTAAAACTTGCAATACCAGCACTTGGGAGGGAGAGACAGGAGGGTCCCTGGGGCTTGCTGACTAGCCAGTCCAGCCTACTGAGTGAGCTTGAGGACCAGTGAGATAACTACTTAAAAACAAAAAGGCGGAGAGCAACTGAGGATACACTTAATACTAACTAACCTCTGACCTCCACACGCATGCTCGCACACACCATACCCATATACAAAAACACAGACAATTTGTTTTCAAGACTTATTTACTTGTAGAATGTGTGGAATCAAATCCCACCTCTATCTCTACTGGGTACAACCTCCTACACATGACCACCTCTCTAGTCCTCTTTCCTTATCTGTTAGATAAGGATCTGCCTCCCAAGGTTATTTATTTGGGGGTTCTGTGATTTCAAACTGGGGCCTTGCACAGCACAAGCAATATACACACACTTACTGTGAGTTAATGTAGAGAGAGCACTTACAACAGGACCAAGCACATACTATTCCAAATTGTATTGGTATTACATCTGTGATGTCTTAAAAGGAAATGGTCTAAGGGGCAAGCTTTAGCTTCTGAAAGATATTCTTTAATTAATAGTTCAATCCCAGTGTTTTTTTAAACACCCACTCAGCAATCTTCCCCTGACAATTTGTCTCTTCCCAAAATTCAGTTCTCTCTTCACTAGCTACTTCTGCCTTCTTGGAATAAAAATTAAAAAAAAAAAAAATCACTTGATTAGAGAGAGCCTTATTATCCAGCCAAGGTGAAGATCTATGTTTCAAGAAATATTTACAAGAAACTTAGAAAGAGTAAAGGATCTGTTCCATGTAGACATGCAATGAATTTATGTTCACTCTCAATTGTTGTCAGGAAACCATCTCACACGTGCCATATAATCTTCACACCAAGTCCTTTTGGGACAAAAGTGCAGATCAGAGATACTGCCTTGCTTGGCATTTGTGAATCCATGTCTTTTAGGCCCAGTGGGGGTGGGGGGGGTGAAGGGTGAGGGGTGGGATACCTCCTTTTATCAAATATTTTATATGCATAAAAATTAAAACATTCCAAGTGTAGCCAGACGTGATAGTGTACATCTTTAATCCCAGCACTGGGAGGCAAAAGCAGGTGGATCTCTTGAATTCAAGGCCAGCCTGGTCTACAGAGCCAGTTCCAGGACAGCCAGGGCTACACAAATATACCGTCTCAAAAAAAGAAACATTCCATTCAGTGGTGGAGTATGTACCTACAACACACAAGGGCCTGGGTTCAATCCCAGGGAATGAATGAATGAATGGATGGATGAATGAATGAAGGAAGTAAATAAATAAATGACATTCCTAGCAATATTTGATTGAATTTAGCAGTTCAGAGCACTTGTTGCTCTTGCAGAGCTCCCAGGTTTGGTTCTCAGCATTCACTGTAACTCCAGCTCTGACACCCTCTCCTGGCCTCTAAGACACTCGGCACATACGTGATGCACATACCTTTATTCGGGCAAAACTGTCACATAAAATAAAAATAAATAAACTTTAAAATGTTTATCATGGAAACTGCCACTTACATATTAAATTTGTGAATTATGCTAGTTTTTGTACACTTACAATTTATTAAGTTATAAACTACAGCCTCCCTCCTCATAGGGGTATAAAATACAAGATTTAAAAAGTAGAATATAAATCTGTATGTCTATATGGCGGAACTAATAAAAGTTCAGGATTTTACATAGGAACTGAAGTACTAAAAAATTATCAAATACTATTTAAACTACTGAACAAAACGATACTTGCTGGGTATTTAAAAGAAATCAAATCATGCTAGTCTATACATAGTCTCCTTATACTATACACACACACACACACACAAAATGTTACCAGTTCAGTGTTTCTCTGAAAAAACTTACATATACACACAATTAGATTCTGGCTAAAATAAGATGTCAGCTAATTCAGGCCATAGAACAAAGTTTTGTTAATTACAAACAAAACCTTAAAGTCTGGCCCCTGAAATGAGAATGCCCTTCCCCACCGATCAGCTACAACCGGACATTCTCCATATCTTTCAAATTTAGTAAATACACAACTTCTCAGGCAAAAAATTCTATCAATAAAAACAAAAACAAGTATTCGCCAAGCAACCTTCTAGATTTATCTAACTTTCCTTGCTTCCCGCGTCTATCATTCTGGGGGAAAAAAAAAAAAAACAAAAAACAGAAAACCATAGCGTTGCGGCTCTAGGTGAAAGTCACTCCAAGAGTCATTAAATCCAAGCTTTGATGTGGAAATACAATTAAATAAGCCGCCAGTCAACTTCAGACCCGAAGCAAAAGTGAGTGGGGGTGTGGCCTGAGGGCTGGGTGCCTTGGGCCCCTCGCTCGGTCAGAGCTGCCCCAGTTAGAGGCCGACCACCGGGACCCGACGTCCTCCGGGGACTCGCGGAGCGCGGACCAAGTTACAGGAAAGGCCTGGGACCTAGTGCGTGCAGGGTGAAGTCGTGTCTACGTGTAAACCGCTCACACTCGGGTTCACGGAAGCTGTCCCCCCACCCCAGCGTTTCAATCCGGTTCCGACGGAGGAGAGAAGGGTGGGAAAAGGCCGGAGCGGGCCATGAAGTGATGGCTATTTCCTGGTTGGCAAGCGCCCGGCGAGCACGGTGCATCCATTTTCCGCCGTGCTGTGTCCCACAGCGTCCGGTCTCCCGGCTCCAGAGCCCGCTACTGGGCGACCCCCGGGCCCCAGCCCCGAGAGGCGGAGCCGAGGAGCAAGGCCCAGGCAGCCGGGAGTGCTCGCAAATGCTTCCTCCCAGCTCCCGCGGA